GAAGCGCCATTTTTATAAACGTTATTTTGATTTCAGGATTCTTTTCTATAGTAGTATCCATTCAACTTTAAAAAAGGTTTTTTTTTTATCATTTGATTCCATGGATAGAACACTTATTACTGTTAAAAATTAAAATTATAAATTGGTGGGCAATTTAGAATGATGAAACCGTATAAGAAAGAATAGCTGAATTCATAACCATCACATGATAAATACAATTACGTGATTTCCATTGAATTCATAACTGATTAAATTTGAACCTGTTGTTCTACTAATAAAGTTTAAATATAGGAAAAGTTATGACAGTCATACATTTTATCCATTTTTCAACGATTTTCCGCTAAAAAAAGTTAGATTAAAATATGGCTTGATTTAAAAATTTTGTGATCATATATATTCTGGTCATATTTCAAAACGTTCTATTAAAATAAGTTTACAAAAAGGCTTCTCTCAGAAATTTTATTTAAACAGTTGATTTTAAATTTAATAAACAATTATTTTAATTTAGTGTAATTGGCTCAGTTTTTTTTTTAAAACCCACACGCATAGCTGATCTTCCCTTTTTCTTAATTATGTATATATACAAACATATATATAGTTACAATTTTTATGAAACTAAATTGGTTAATTTTACTAAAACTTTAGTATTATTGTTTTAAATCAGCAAAATTAATAAAACAAATTAATTAATTGAGAGGAATGCTTATTTTTTTCCTAAATAAAATGCACATCTTGTTTAAAAATTTTATTAATAAATACCGTATTAAAAAATTATGCGAGCTACCAAAAATAGTTAAAAATTAAATATTGAAAAAAAATTGTTATATTTAAATGTTATAAACTGTTGCACACACACTAAGTAAATATGTATATTTTCCGTATAAACTTTCAATAATAAAATATAATATATTTAATAAAATATATGCATTTTTTATTTGAAATCTTTCATCGCTTTTAATGAAATTTGGTAGTTTTAAAATTAAATCTCTATTTATTAAAATTAAATTAAATGCTATAATTAAATATTATATGCAAAGGATAACACCAATTTTAAATATTTAAAGTGACTGACTTCGTTCGGAATCGTGATTAAAAAAGTGCGAATAAATGAGTAATTTTTTGGTATTTAGTGTCAGTTTAATTAGATCATACACATAAAATTGTTTTAAAAATATCATTAAAAGAAAAAATTATTTAGATGTAATATTTTGGCAAAAAATGAAGAAAGAATGACATATTTTCTGAACATTCTCCTTTCGCGAAAAATGCTTCTATAATAATATTTTGGCTGTATATATGGCTGGGACATTGTGACGACGCCGATCTCTTCCCCCTATTTGCTAACAGATCTCTTGCGCCTTGCCGACAGACGTTGCGAAAATTCCAGGCATTTCCCTAATTGCTGGGAAGGAATTTCATAACTGGGTGGTCAAGTTTCGGAACCTTTTTCCCGGGCTGACCGGACTGTCCAAAAGAGGCGCCTTAACATTGTGTTTTCATTTTACCGCAATTCGGTAACGACGACGTGTCTGAAAACGTACAAATGTGCACCCAGCCTCGGTGCCTCTTGGACGAGAGAACAGGAAACAAGACCAATTTGGCTCGGCAGAAGGGTAAGAGATCAAGGGAGCCGAGATCGGAAGGAGAAAAAAGAACAAGAGGGGTTGAGTCCGACAAAGAGATCAGAGAAGGATGATTAGGAGAGATAGAGAGGATATAAGGAGGGCGAGAGAGTCCGGACGAGAGACTGGATTTTGAAGGGAGCCGTTTAGACGTCCCATGAGCGATAGAAAAAAGCGATAACGAGCCCGCGAAGTACAGCGGTCTCCTGGCTTGGAAGATCAGGGAACGGGAGAGAGTGCGAAAGAGCACGGCGAAGTTTGGAGCCAGCGAACTCACTCAGAGTCGGTGTGGAATTACCGAGAGTGAACCCCTTTTACTCACGATTTGAATAGGACTTTTCTCTAGCGGGCGAAGTTACGCCCTTATTTTATGTGAAAGAGACTCGAAATCATTACGGACCCTTTCGCTATTGAATTGTAAAAGAGTATACTAATTTTATTTTTTCCATGATTTTCATACTGAAATAAATAGTTATCCAAGAGCTGTGTGAAATCATTACAACATCTATACAGGAACTGAACTAGGATTTTTGAAAAATTCACATTGTTTCGGAGTTACGATCTATTGAAATATATAAAACAGATATTTTTGTTAAAATCGCTCTACTCTGATGTATTAAAATATGAATACAAATCCACTTCTAAACTATATATTTCTCAGATTCTGTACAGAAGTCCGAGCTATATACATGGTGGTCCCGAATTCATTGTACAAACTTTAAGGGTAGATACAGGACATTCTAACAATCATTTACTGTATAGGAATGTATGGGCTCAAGTGACGCGGCGAGGCACAAACACGAAAAATAAAAGAAGAAAGGAAAGACAAAGTGTATATTGAAAGCGTCGTTGACAAGTGTAACGTTTACAATGACTGTTCGTAACTGTTGAGCACATGAGCTATGAAGTCCAGCTGCAACGCACATTGCTGTATCACTCGCAGCAGTCGAAGATAGTCTGCCGGATTCAAAGCTTGTACCAGCTGAAAATGGAAGAGGTGTAAGCGATTTTGGTAAGCGATCCGACTACAGTTAACGGATAAAGCGCATAATGTATAATTTTCATGATATAGTGTCATTTTAGATAGAATCATGTATGACAGTTTTAAGACATTATGATAAAATATTCCTAAAACAATATTTCTGGCAAAATTACTTAGAATAACCTTTTCAGTCTTCTTTTGTAAAATGCTTATTATTATAATATTTTGCCTGGGAGTTGCCTTCAGACCTCTGTATAGAGGCTCAATCAGAATTTGAAATGCATAACTCGGAAGTCGGTTTATCCATGTTTTACAAAAACAAAAGGGAGAAATTTTAAGAAAATACGCCGATAATTATTTCAAATGGTTGTAACTCTGAAAACAATGCGAATTTTTCAAAAATCATAGTTGAGCCTCTGTACAGAGGTCTGAGCTATATTCAGGCAAAATATTATTATAATAGAAGCATTTTTCACAAAAGGAGAACATTTTTAAAAAAGGTTATTCTAAATTCATTTTTTGCCGAAATATTGTATTTAAATAATTACTTTTTGTCAAAAAATGTCCTTAAAACAATTTTATACATGTATTCTAATCTAAGTGATACTAATATAATGAAAATGATCCATTTATGCGCTTTTTTAAAATCACGGTTCCGAACGTAGTCGGATACCTTAACACTCTATAAACGGTCTAATGACTTACACTTACTTAATAAGCAACAGCTCTTGTACTTGACTCGGGTCTATTAGCTACAATGTTCAAGACGCTTTCTTCCAGGCTTGGACTGGGTACAGCTCTTTTCGACCAGCATCATGTCTGGTGCCGTGGAACGAACGTTTTCCATGAAGTTGAAGAGATGTAACCGCTGAAAAAAATTCTGTGATCCGGCATTCTTCGATCAGGAAACTGCGCGTGATACATTCGTAGCGCAGCTCTGCCGTTACCATTTTCATGGTCGTACATGAAATGCATGTCTGCATTTTCGGCATGCGTAAAGTCTCCCATCGTAGACGTCAAAACAATTGCGAATGGCGCTTTCCCCTACTGAGGTGCATCCTTTTGAACGGCGACTAGACATCTAATGCCCCCTACCGGTAATGCAACCAACCGATAACTCCATTTTTCTCTTTTATTTTATTTCCCCTGTTTGCGCCTCACCACTCCACTTGTGCCCATACATTCCTATACAATAAATGATCGTTACACTGTCTCTGTATAGGCAGAATGTTATTAATATAGAAACATTTTTCATGAAAGAAGATTGTTTTCAAAATATGTAAGTTGTAAGGCATTAGCCCGTGGGTGATGCCCTTCTCCTTCATTTTTCTCGAGACCTAAAGGTGTGGGAGTGAATGAAGAACCAGGCGTTGCCATAATCTTAATACCTCTTTAGTAAGATCTTAACTTAAACAATATACAATAAGGATATTAATGTTTTAACTTAGCGGATCTGAGGTGAAGAAACACACAATACGTATTATTAAATAAACACGGCCCTGACCACTATATTTAACTTTACCACCGACTTCTAACTTTAGTATATACACAGTTCCTAGTATTTAATAGAACGATCCTACCTCTACATCCTAGGTAGCAGCAACTGTCAAATCATCAATGTCGTTTCTTTAACTCGCGTGGAATTGTATCCACTTTGACTTGAACGTATTGACACGAATAGCTGAACACTTGAATATCGGATAACTTCTAACTTTAACGCTCCTAACCACAGTCTAGCATAATCCCTTCCCAAAGGCCACCCTGCTTACGCTAAACTTCTGTTATTTAAAGAGTTCTTAATTTACATAATCACGCTTCGCTTCTGGATTTGGTTGGAAAGAATTTGCCTTTTTCGGCTCCAAAGAACCCAAGAGGGCAATTAATGGAAAGCGCGATGAGCCCGTTACAAAGTTGCCAAAGAAATTGCATTGAAATAATTTTTCTTGTAACAATGTTTTTAAAACAATTTTACGTACCGCAAAATCCGGCATATAACGCATGCGGATGCACGTTATATGTCGGGTATAAAAATAAGGGTTTTTAAAAATAAAAAAGATGAGAATAGAGAAAAAAATTAGACTTGTACATAGATCAAAATACTGTTTATTTAAAAAAAAATGACATTCCTTATGAAGTTATACTATTTTTCAATTCCTACTATTAGTTCGCAATCTCCCTATATATATATATATATATATATATATATATATATATATATATTATATATATATCTTGTTCAAATTTTCAACGTTAATAAAATACTTTCTATTCATCCATTCAAGTTCAAATACATTTTTTTAAATATTAATTCATTAATTAAATTAAAAAAAGAATAAATGGTAACAAACAAAAATAATAGTTCAACACCCTATATGAAAAGGAAAGTCGCTCGTTGTGTCCCTGTAGCGCAATGGATAGCGCGTTGGACTTCTAATTCAAAGATCGAATACTACTTGGGATGACCTAATTTCTGAGAACGTGATTTATGAAGTAATAAATAGTAACAAACAAAAATATTAGTCCAACACCCTAAATAGAAAGGAAAATCGCTTTCTATTTTGCCACTTAATATTGTGATTCTGTCATAGGTATATACATATTTATTTTAGTTGTAATTATTTAATAGAAGGTATCTAAAATAAAAAATTTCTTTTTTGACTTAAGTAGGAATTGACTTAAATTTTTTTTTTTTATATATATTACTTGTTTTTTTGAAGCTTTAAATAATATCTCGAATAAATGACTTCAAAACATAAGAGCAATATATTTCAGATTTCTTCGTAAAAAAGGAGTTGCGTGTTTTACGGCTAATATACCTAAAAATTAAAAAAAAATGCAGCTTGAAAGTATAGATGCACGTTATACGCCGGATTTTACAGTAAATACATTCTTATTCAATTGACACTACTAAATATCAAAAAAAAAAATTCTATTTATACTCTTTTTTAAAATCACGGTTTCGAATATAATCAGTCACCTTAACATATATATATTACAATTTCGACCTTACTTTATCAAATGCATTCCTAATTGCCTTTTGAGTGTGTTTGAGCATGTTAAAGACCTCTGCATTCTATTTTAATTTCATTTTCGATCATATGTCCCAAAGAACTTCTAGTCTCGTTTCCTTTTTGTAGTGCAGAACAACTCATTCCATTTCCTTTTCCGCTTCCTCCTGTGTATCTAATGATGTAAACATAATCACATGGGAGGGAAGTGGAGTACTTTCCACTCGCAACAAAAAAAGAGATATATCTTCACAAGATTCGAATTTGTGCTCTTTTTGTGTTTTCAGCAACAGTTCATGAGCTCTTGTCTTATAGTGTTTATGGCTTGCACTTCTTTGGAAAAGATTTGGTTTGATTAACTTTAAATTAGACTTAAGTGGAATCTATTTTGAATTTGAATTTTGTAAGTAGATTTAAGGTATCGGAATAAATTCTTTGAACCGTGAGTTTAAAACGTATAAACCGGTTTTAAAAATTTACATGATGAAATTTAAAGTGCATTTATTTAGCAAGTGTTTTTATAAAATTGTTATTCGAGAATAAGTATTAAAAATAAAAAATTATTTAATAATAAAATATTTGACAAAAATTTGCTACGGGGAGGGGGAATCCTTTTAAACATTTCTACCTTTGCTGGCATAAACGACAGCTTTATAATCATAATAGTCTCCAGTTTAAGCCAAAGACCTTTGTACAGAGGTGTCAATTCAATTTTTTGAATTTAACTTAGGTGGTTTATCCATATTTTATACAATATATAAGGGAAAAATTTTGGACAAAACGCCGATAATTTATTTTAATCGGTGTTAATTGTAAAATAATGAAATTTTTAAAAAAAAAAATTTTTGCTCTGAGACTTTGAATTTAAAATAAACAACAACACAAAAATATCCTTTATTTAGAAATAAAATTTTTATTCAAAGCTAGAACATTTTGAGAATTATGTAAGTTAATTGGTTTTCAAAATATTGTATTTAAATCATTTTTTTGTCAAAATGTTCTTAAAGCAATTTTATACATGTATTCTAATCTAAGTAACACTAAATATCATGAAAATTATCCATTTATGCGCCTTTTTAAAATCACGGTTCCGAACGTAGTCGGATACCTTAAAAAAATGAATTTTTAATGGATAGAAGTCGTGAATGAAATATATTTCTTATACCACCAAAGAACAGCGGAGGTTAACGAACGTTACTTCAAACCGGGTTTCAAAATTCTCACACTTCTTGATGTTGAAATTTAATGCATGATTTACCTGCTAATGTCATTTCCCATATTAATATTGTTCGAGGTTCGGCAGGTTTTTGTGTTGATATAGCTCAACGTCGATAAAAACAAAACGAAATTGGGATCTTTGTTCTGTGTATTATATTATATATATATGCAATCGAACCCCAATTTAACGAATTCATCGGAACCTAATATTTTGTTCGTTAATTCGGGGTTATTCGTTATATCGGGATGTAAACAAAATACAAATTTTTTGCTCTTCCCTTTTGGAAATTCTATAATAAACAACTACACAAAAAATATCCATAGTTAGAAATTACACACTTTTATTCAACAGCTAAAAATACTGTTAGTGAATTATTGTACCAGTTAATTGGAAATTTTAAAATACTGACTGAAAAAATGTTTGGAAATCTCTATGATTCCTGACTCGAAAGAGTTCTTTTCGATTTTATGTCGAGAAGAATGCGTTATTTACATCCTTCTTTTTGGGAGGTATGGTTTCATATTTTCGAACATACCATTTTTGATAATATTTTCATTATTTTGATTTATGCATCAGAATCGCTATGCATTAGCTCCAATAAATCAGTAATTTCCTCAACTTCAATTGCACAGTTAGGCAGCCGTCATCAAATGTAACGTAATCGTCAAAATTTCCCCTGCGTTGTAGAATGGGTTTATATAAGAAAGGATCTTCCCCATCCTATTCAAAACTCACAAATAGATTACACTCATGATCTGGTAAAATCTAATAACCCTAATAGCACCCTTTCTAATCAAAATTTTGTTGCTTAAAGAAAGTCTTTTTCTGCTCTGGGCAAAAAGGGTATTTCATTTGAAAAAGAAAAAAATCCAATTTTTTCTAATACCGTAAAATCCGGCGTATAAGACCTACCTATACTTTCAAACTGCAATTTTTTTTTAGGTATATTCGCCTTTTTTTTGGAAGAAACCTCAAATATACGTGAGCAATGTTCTTATGTTTTTGAAGTTATTTATTCGAGGTTATTATTCCAAGCTTTAGAAAAAAATAGTATACTTCTAGAACTACAACCTTTTAAGTTCATAACGAATGTCATTTCTTTTAAAGAAACAATATTTCGATATATGTAAAAGTCTAATTTTTTTCTATGCTTGCTTATCTTTTCTTATTTTTAAAGCTCTCATTTTTATATCCGGCGTATAACGCGCACTCGTAAATTTCGATTTTTGTTTTGTAAGTGTGCGTTATACGCCGGATTTTATGGTAATAACTAATAAAAAAATTTTACAGCTGTTGAAATAATTCGTTAATTCGGGGCCCTACTGTATATATATATATAATAAAATAAAAGTGAAAAAGTTCTAAAACCTAAAATGGTAAAAGAAGGAAGAAATTGAGTTCATAAGACACAACAGATGTAGATACAAAAAAAGTCTTTGGACTAAACTGGAGACCTATTATGATTATGTATATATATTTCGGGGTGTTTTTTAAAAAAAATCTTTATTTTTCTGGATTTATAGAATAAAATTTGGCAGTAAGAAAATATTATATAAGCAAACCAGTTTAACCAAAATTCAAATTAGGATAAATTATTCAAGTTTTGTTAACATTTTATTTATAGTAATTATGATAAAAGCACCTTTGAGTTTTTGTTTACGAAGTAGAAAAAAGTAAAAGTATATATGTTATTTTATGAGAAAATCTTAATACATTATTAGATTTGTTTTGACCCAATATTTCGAAAGAAAAACCCCTTTTGCCTTTGTTTTCGTTGCTACAGAAGAGATTTCGTGGAAACAATCAAATTTAATAATATTTTATGCATTAATTGAAAAGCTTTTAAGTGTAGAAAAAATATTCACCATGTAAAAAATAATACTCACTACATAAGAATTTTCGTCGAAACATATTTTAAAGCAAATTTAATAATATTTTATGCATTGGTTTAAAAAGCCTTCTAAGGGCAGTATAAAAATATTCACAACGCAACTTTAGTAGTACAAGAAATAAAAATTAATAACGTCTGAAAGGTTCGAAGAAAATCAATTTCATTAAAATTAAGGGCTTTTAATGATTTGCTACTTTTCAGTCATAAATAAAATTCCCAGAGGAATAAATTTTTACTATATAAAAAAGTACATATATATTATTTGAATTCCTATTAGATCCTCAAGATATAAACAAACAATTTCAAAAAACTTTAATGAAAAAGGAGAATCCAGTTTCTTCTTAAACAATAATCAGTTTGCTTTTTCTTGGCAAAGAAAACATCCGTAACTTGTAATAGTGTCAGTAAAGCATTAGAGTTGCCCTTTCAGTTATTTTTAATTCAATTTTATGCACCTTTTAATTATGAAGTAAAGTTCATTCACGCATCTTTTCTTGTTTATATACATCTTCTTGCTCGGAGAAACAAGTTCTGAAAGTGAACTTATTAAGTGCAATAATTTTCAAAGAACTCATCACACCTACACCTCAAGTCGAGCAAAACATATTTTAAACAAACTTCAATTATTTTAAACCCTCCGATTTAAAAGTTAAAGCTCTTGTTGAAAGACGGAATATTTCTTTTTAAAATTTACAACTGTTGCAAAAATTTTAAGATGATTTTCGTAGTGCTAACACTCGCGGATATCTGACTTGGCAATATCGACAACCAATGAGAAGCAGACTCAACGATGACCTACCTACCTTTATCGACCAATGGCTGTGAAGGATATTTTTTCTACGGCGCGAAAAATATCTGAATTCCAACGATAAAATAAATTTCACTTTTATTCTCGAGTGAAAGCAACATGGTTTTATTAGATGAACAAAAAGTGTAACAAATAAGACGATAAAGATTTTGCTATGGGATAGCTACGTATTTTGAGATTTTTGTGATATCTATCTCGCAAGGGATTTATTGAACTTATGAAAAGACAAGCAAATAAATAATATGGGAAGATTTATTGTCTGAATTACTCTAAGTATGCAGATTTCTGTGCGAAGAATAATTTTTATCCGTAACCAGTGGTGTGCAGAAGGGGAGGGAAAGATTCAGGGAGTCCGGACCCCCCTTATCGCCTTTGATTTGTTTTGATTGATTGTAATCCTATGTATATCTGTACATATAAAGGAGAAGAGAGATTCACTCATTCCCTCACTCACTCATCTCCTTATCCCTGGAACTACTAATCCTACAGACTTTAAGTTTGGTAGGCATGTTTCTTTCATGGTGTAGAAATCGGC